CTTCTTAGGAGGTGCAGTTGTAGCAGGGGCAGCAGGAGGTGTAGCAGGAACAGCGTCAGACATAATTATATCTCGAGGGTTAGAAGTTGGAATGTACGGCGAAATCAACGCTACTGGCGTTATATAGGAGGCTGGGTTCCCCCGTCGAGCCCCCTCAGAGAGAGCCGCCGACAGACGCGATAGGCGCTATTCGGCTGTAAGTATGTGTTGGAAAATTGCTCATAATTTCATTTCTCTGTAATCTCATACAACAATTTCGATATCTTATGAAAGTGCGAGGTTCGGGCTACATAACCGTATAAAGATCTTTTCGTTTTATTCAAGTTCTCGTTGGAGAAATGGCGTCAAAACCTACGATACACTAGAAAATACTGAGTTTATTGCCTTCTCCCGGAAATTTCCCTAGAAATACCACATATTCAAACTTGACCAACGTCACACTCAAACAGAGAGACCTTGTACCTAAATAATCATCTGTAAGTTTTACAAAGCTTCTCCTCATTGCGCATAAACAACTCATTTTTCCGTAATTGAAAACATCACTGTTGTAAAATGCTCTTGAATTTCGTGGTAGTTTCAAACTATCTCCCTATAAACCTTACACCGCTAGAAAGCCCATGAAATCTTCTACAAGAACACTTATGTTTTCTTTAGATTAGATTTGATTCTCTAGGATTAATCTTTATTTGAAACTAACAGCTCTAACGCCGCGTCGCGCCATCAGGCTGCGACGGCGGGTGGAAAACAAGCAAATCAAGCGGCTTCCAATATGTAACAAAGCTATTTCTCAAAGAATTTCTGTTACACAGCATTAGAAAAGAGCTATTCCTATTCTAGATTGGGTCCCACATTTCCTTAGCATCTAAGTAAAGCAACTTTCAAGTTCTAAGTTATTCAGCTATCGATTGCGCACTTCGCGAGACACTTACGCCGTGTAAGGCAAAGGAAAACTGGTCTTGGAATATTCTTATTAGGATTAGAGTAGATATAGGTCTGTACCTTCAATACAGCATGTTTTCCGTAGCAGTACTAGTTTTTCTTTTGCAAACATTTTGGAGTTTTGTAAACTTTTCTCCACTATCCATTCGCACGGTCTGCGAAAAACGGAATCGCTTCGTGAACAAAAA